GCACTAGGTGCATCCCCATCGGTGGCTGGATCATCGTCACCAGGCGCCGACCACATCATCAGCTCAGCAGCTCGCCGTCACCAAATTCGGGGGCCCGGAAGCGCCAGCAGATAGCAAAGAGCACTCCACCGGCGCCCTAGCTTTGTCCACACAATCGCCAGCGTCCCGACTCATGCATCCCCTACCTCGCCTAGTGCGACACTACCGCCTGACGATCGGGCTCCAATCGAGTCGCGCCACACCACTTTGGAGGTATATGTGCATCGACCATCGAGCTTTCTCGTTCTTAGGAGAGGAAGGCGAGGTGTACCACCTACGCAAAGGCCCTCTACGGTGCATGGCGGCTCTGCTGCGCTGGAATGCGGCCGGACACCACGCTCAAGGAGATGGGCTTCCGCCGAGAGCGCGCATGAGCGGCCGTGAACCGGCGAGGCGCATGGGCGCACTATCACGCTTTCGTCGGCGTCTCGTCGGCGACCTCATCATCACCGGCGCTAAAGAATAAGTGGAGAAGTTCAAAGGCGCGAGATGAAGGAGGCGTTCGACATGGCGACCTCGGCCTCCTCTGCTTCTACCTCGGCGTCGAGGTGCGCCAGCATGCCAGCGGCATCACCCTCTGTCAAACCCACTACGCCAAGCGCATCCTTGAGCTCGGCGGCATGGCTGGCTGCAACCCAGCGCACACCCCGATGGAGGAGAAGCTCAGGCTCAACCGTCACGGCACGGTGGAGGAGGTGGACTCCACACACTACTGGGCTCGGCTCGTCGGCGACCTCCGCTTCTGGTGCACACCCGCCGGACTTGGCGTTCATGTGGTCGAGGTTCGTGAGCCGTTCATGGAAGCGGCCACGGTGGAGCACCTACAGGCCGTGAAGCGTATACTCCGGTACGTGGCGGCACCCTCGACTATGGCCTGCATGACGCAAGGGCCTCGGCACGGCGCGCTTCGTTGGCTACTGTGACAGTGACCTCACCGGTGACATCGACACAAGCAAGAGCATGAGCGGAACCATGTTCTTCCTTGGCGATTGCTTGGTCAGCTGGCAATCCCTCAAGCAGAAGGTGGTGGCGCTATCAAGCTGTGAAGCCGAGTATATTGCCACCACCACTGCAGCAACACAAGCTCTGTGGCTGTCAAAGTTGCTGGGAGAGCTCCTTGGCAGAAAGGTCGATGTGGTGTAGCTGAAGGTGAACAACAAGTCTGCTCTAGCTCTGGCCAAGAATCCAGTCTTCCATGACAGAAGCAAGCACACCCGAATCAAGTACCACTTCATCAGGGATTGCTTGGAAGAAGGAAGCATCAAGGCCAACTACATTGCCACTACTGATCAGCTGGCAGACATCCTCACCAAGTCGCTTGGCAAGTCCAAGTTCCAAGAGATGAGGCAGAGGATTGAGCTGAGGCAGATTGTCTCCAAGACTTAGCATAAGGCTTAGGTGGAGATTGATAGTTAAGCCTAGTGCTTGTATCTTATTTTTCCTGTCATTTACCTTTGGCTGCTAATAGCCTAGTATTAGGAATATGCTCAGCACCCACTTTAGTGGTTAGGAAAGTGCTGGAGCTGGTGAGGGGGAGAGGAGCCATCTTCTCTATAAAAGCAGTGGCATAGACCACTTTGTATTCAGCTATTGCATTACAATTCAATCAAGCGGCCTAGGGCCAAGCTGTCTTCTAGCCTTACCCAAATCTAAGATCCATTTGTGTTCACCTGGCCAACAAAGGCGGCCTAGGATTGGGAGGATCCCAGACACGGGGGGAAGCTGGTGGCGTCAGAGCACCTTTGTTGGCGAGCACTTGGTCATCCATGGTGATGGGGACTCAGGGAGTGGAGGCAGCTACGGATGTGGCAAGTCCAGTGGCGATGGCGGTTCCAGATGGGCCACCAAGTCCGGTCATGCCAGCGCGAGCTAGCAGACTCCTCCGTCGGCGGCCATGAGCGCCTCCACCACCGGGCCCTTTGCTCTAAGCGGGACAAGGAACACTAAGCGCAGACCTCGGTCTAGTTCTTTCTTCGACTAGCGACTTGGACTCGCATGTCGACGCACCACACAAAGGCGAGGAGGTGCGTTTCCGCACCATGGACAACCTCGTCGGTGGTTGTGCGACTCTGGCTTAAGCGAAAGATGATGCTCGATGATCGAAAGAGCTGCTCGATGAGCGCCAAGGAGCCACCCACGTTATTTGGGTTGAACATCGAATTGGGGGTATGCCATGCTCGAGGAGATGAACACGATCGAAGACAATGGGACTTGGGAGCTTGTGGATTCGCCTCTCGGTGTCGGCCAATTGGGCTCAAATGCGTGTACAAGGTGAAGCGGAGACGAGCGCGCTGCGCCATTGCTAAGCACAAGGCGGCGCTTGCTCGTTGTCGAGGCTTCGTCCAACGCGAAGGAGTTGACTTTGAGGAAGTCTTGGCGCGGGTGTACCGGATGGAGTCCGTTCACTTTCTTCTTGTGCCGACGGCAGATGGCGGATCGCGCGCGTCCATCACATGGAAGTGAAGTCCGCCTTCCTCAACGACGAGGTCTCAGAGACGGTCTTCGCCAAGAAAGCTCCGGGCTTTGTCGTCAAGGGACAAGAACACAAGGTGCTGCGCAAGGTCCTCTACGGGCTGTGGTAGGACCCGTGGGCGTGGATCGCCAAGTTGGATGCCACGCTGGGCGAGCTTGGGTTCACCAGATGCGCCACAGAGCACACGCTCTACATGCGACGACGGGGGATGGAGGAGCTCATCGTCAGCGGAGTGCGGGCAGAGGACATCGCTGGCTTCAAGCACGAGATGGCGGCTCGATTCCGCATGAGTGATCTTGGCTTGCTCTGCTACTACCTCGACATCGAGGTGAAACAGGGGAGGAGCACGGTCACTCTGTGTCAGCGCGTACGCGGAGAAGCTTCTGGAGCGGAGTGGCATGGCGGATTGCATGCCGTGCGTGACTCACCCGAGGGCGGCCGGTTGAAACGGAAGGCCAACACCGCGGCGAATGTAGACACAACAAGCTCTTTGGAGCATCGTCTGCGCGGGTGTGCTATCTTGTTCACATGCTTTGCCGCCATTGTGTTCGCCGTGTGGGCTATGTGGAGCGATTCATGGAGGATCCGCAGGATGATCACCGGAGCTCTGCGGTGAAGCGGCTCTGTGCTACATCAAGGGACAACCGACCCGTGGCATGGTCTTCCTCAAGGCCGGTGAAATTGGGCTATGACTCAATGGCTTCAATGACGCGACATGGCGGGCGACATCGATCGCGGAAGAGCACCTCCGGCATGCTCGTTTTCCTCGGCTGGTCCTCGATCGCTTGGCAGTCGCAGAAGCAGTAGGTGGTGGCGCTGTTGACGTGCGAGTCATAGTATATCGCAGCGGCCACAGCGCCGTGCCAGGTTGTATGGTTGCGCCGCCTGCTGGGCGAGCTCACCGGCGAGGAAGCTGGTCCGCCAACTCCAATGGTAGACAATCAACCCGCCATCGCCCTCGCCAAGAACCCGACGACCGAAGCAAGCATATCGACATCAAGTATAACTTCCTTGTGATTGTGTCGATGGAGGACAGATCGTCCTAGAGTACGTCGAGAGCGGCCGACAGCTCGCGGACATTCTCACCAAGTCACTCTGGTCATCTTCGGTTCTCTGAGCTGAGGGAGAAGATTGGCATGGTGGGACTCAATCTCAGGGTCTAGGTGTAGCAGGATTAGGGAAAGAATTGTAAGATAATCTGCTGTCCTTGATTAGCCTTTTGCAGCAGCAGAGGTGTGGCACTGTGGTCAGCTCTTGTTGTACCTTATGTACTATTACTCTATTATAGAAGTATGGAAATAGGCCAATATGGTAGTGGCATACATCAGCCATGTAGGTACTAAACTTGTATATATACTAAGGGATTGCAATAGAGCAAACCAGCTCAGTTTGCCACACATTCAGTTTCAGAGCAAGTGCTTGTGCTGTGTGTGTGCTCTGTTCTCACCCCTTTCTTCTACCTCTAGTCGTGGTGTGTGTGAGTGTGTTGGTGAGCTAGCTGCTCACCTGTGCAGGAAATCGAGGGCCAACAGGCGCGTGATGTTGAAAGGGCACAGGGCCGGTGCTACAATGGTTGTCACCTTCGTCCTCGCTACTCTCACCATCTGCCTCATGGTGGCTTCTCGCCATCAGCACAGGCGGGTACTTCCACAGTCTCCGCAGCGCGACGGTGGTGGGCCAGGACTCCAGGCCCATGAGGCACCCGACGACGCCCGGGGCAGCCCCATTGGCCGGGTGCGGCTCCAGGGCCACAAATGCCTGAAGCACCAAGGTTCAATGTGCACTCATGGGCCACCACGTCGGCAAAACCAGGGTTGAAAACCACCTCATCAAGGGGTTATATATATACACGGTTAGAAGATGTTTGTGCGGGCAGAATACATGGTTTTATAGTTCAGTTGGTGAAGTAGACACCAAGCCAAACATCAGGGGGTTATATATAAGACTTTTTCCTTGCATATTTTGCATCATCTGAAAATGCCCACGGTACTATTGTTGGAAATTGAACTTTCTTGAGTGATTCATTCTTGCCGCTTCTAATAATTCATTGAATGCCCGGTCTTTTATTTCTGGAGGGAGGGAAAAATTGTGCTACTTGTCAACCAAACACTAAAATTCCCCTCTAGTCATAGGAAACATGTGGACTGTGTTACTAGTGTGTTCTAAACAACTTCAAGTTACAAATATAGAATGCTAGGGCTGCCTCACTATTTTATAATTTTATCTCACACTGCTTAAAATAGATCATCACACCTAGAATGCTGGTATGCCTAGTTAGAATTGCAAAGCCCAAAGGATATTTGAAACTCCCAAATGGAACAGAGACAAGATGCTACAGGTGAAGATGATTCCATATCACTTTGCTTCTTGGAGATGATAAGAGTAGGCTGATAACTTTTCGAAAAGAACTGCTTGTAGTAGTTAATTATTGTTGTTTCCATGTTGAAGAATTTTCATGAATCTTCTAACGTCTTGATTATTATTACAGTCAATGGAATCTAGGGACACCATTCCTGATCGAAAACTTCTTGCAAGACTAGTTATAGTAAGAGAAGAAGCTCGGAATATGATGGGAGGTGGCCTGTTAGATGAGAGAAATGATCGTGGTTTGACTACCCTCCCTGAGGCAGAGGTATCTTTAAACTTGGAAATCCTAATGTGACATGGTAAACGTGTATTGCATGACTAATTGCAAAATATCAAAGGGTCTTTAGTCTATTTGGACTACATATATATGGTTGTTGAGATGCGATGAAGTGACATCATCAATTTGCTTGTCCACGTATATCTCAGTGTCTATAATATTATTTAGCAATTTTTTATGTTTAACAACTACATGAACTTTTCCATTTTATCACTTTGAGGAGTTAATACCTTTAAGGCTTTGTTCTCTTTTCTTCCTATTTATATAAACTCAAATTTGAGCGCCATCCATTATGAGTGCAAAAGGACTATTTTGATTTTCTTGTTTGTTGACCAAATATGATTTGTGTATGTTTTTTTTATAATAAAGATCCAAATATATTGAAAATGTGAAAGCTCGATACAAAGGCTTGGGAATTATCTTCCCAAGAAACGAACTTTTAGCTCCCTAGCTACTGTTACAAATAAAGAAAGACTCAACTAGATAATGATATTGAGGCCCAATAGAGATTATATGTAAAGAGAGAGACCCTAGACTAGGAGATTACACTAATACCCTTGACTACTATACCTTAACACCCCTCTCAAATGCAACGTGAATGCAATGTCGTTGTATTTAGAGAGTTCACACTACGCACTAGACATGAAAATCCAAAATCCAAAATAGATGTACTCGAAGCGTGCAACTCGACCTAGACCAAAGTCGATGTAGAAAATGATCTCCTCCACAAGAGGGTACTGCGGCCTTCATAACCCGTACTTCAGCAAATATCTCAAGTCTTCACGAAACAGTACTTCAACTCTTCAAATATGAACCTTTGCTTTGGAGACTTTGAACTCGATGAGAATAGAGATGTGTCATGACAAACCAAAAGAAGTGCAAGATGGCACACAGTAGGATACAATGGTGATGACAACAAATAAATGACCATTGATCATGAAGTGTAGCAAAATGGCTACGAAAGAGACCAAGAAGGCATAGTCGCATCAATGATGATGATGATTAGTTAAATCGACGGGACTCTGCTAACCAAAGCAAAACAATTGGTTGATCTGACAAAATTTGTGGACACGCACGACTTGCACGGCTTGACATTTGTAAATTGGGCTTGGATGGACACAAATGCAACAAATGCAATGGAAGATAGGCCTCAATATACTAGCAGCATAAGATTGGAGACCATTCGTACCCAACAGAACAGAGCAGAGGGCACCTAGTCACCTAGAGCACCACTACAGCAGACGACAAATTAGGTCCACGACTGCGGACTCCAGGCCGCGATGAGTGGCTGAGGCCGTGAGGCGACTTATGCAACAAGTCTGCAGACAGGCTTAGGGCGGACGAGGAGTCGCACAGCCGTGCGAGCTCTCCGTGCTTGAAGACGGCGGGACGGGCAGACAAGTCCTCGGATGGGCGGACGGAGGCGTCGGCCACGGAAGATGCCGCGGCAGGAGACGCGCGGACGAGGGCCACACGAACGTTCGCTCGACGGGAGAATGTAGTGTAGCAGACGGGCGAGCGATGGGTCGATTGGACCGCGGGTGGGCGCGGATGAGGAATCGCGACGACCCGCGGATGAAGGCCGCACGGTCTTGGAGGTGTACATCGCGGACAGATGGTGCGATGCGGCGATGGGCCGCGTGAGTGGGCCGGCGCTTGAGCAGACGCTCGACGGGCGACGACATCAGAGCGGCTGTGGAAGTCGACCACGTATAAACTGGACGTCGAAGGACACGGATGGCACGCCGCATATAGATGACGTACATACTTGACACGGATGACCGAAGTTGTGGACAGGGAATCCGCTCGACTAGGCGGTTCCGCGAAGAGCGGACTCCGGGCAGCATTGATGGCGAGATGCTGAAGATCCATGCGAGGACTAGGCTGCCCCCAGGAGCGGAGATGGATTCTCTTGGGGGGAGCACAGCGGGGAGGGTGGTGGCTGGATCTAAACCCAATGCTTTGGTACAATGTTATGAATATAGAGACTCAACTGGATAATAACATTGAGGACCAATAGAGACTATATATAGAGTACATAGGAGACACAAGAGGAAAACCCTAGACTAGGAGATTACATTAATACCATTGACCACTATACCTTATCAGCTAGAAAGATAGAGTCAGGACTTTGACTCAAACAAGGAGCACATAAACAGATCCTCATTCTCACATTCGGTTAGTACAATTGTGGCTCCCCGGAATCTTCTTTCTGTTCGCCACTCGCGACAATTCCTGTTCTATTGAGTTTGACGCTTTGGGTTTTTCTATTAAGGACCAGCAGACGGGGTGTGTGATTCTTCGTTGCAATAGTAGCGGGGACCTCTACACCATTTCTCCATCGCCACCCTACAGTTGCAGCGTTGCCACTTTGTCCACGCTCTGGCACCACCGCCTCGGCTATCCCGGTCCTTCCACCCTCACAACACTCCACAACATGTCAGTCATCTCTTGTAATAAGCAGCCGCGATTCTTGTGTCATGCCTGCCAGCTTAGCAAACACACATGGCTCCCCTTTAGCAGTTCCACCTCTGTCACTACTGCTCCTTGCTTTAATTCATTGTGAAGTATGTATATCTCCGGTGCTCAGTACTTCAGGTTTCAAATATTATCTAGTGTTGCTTGATTACTCCCATTTTTGTTGGTCTTTGCGCTTACGCCACAAATCTGATGTGCACCACCATATTGTTGAGCTTATTGCTTATGCCCACACGCAGTTTGGGATTGACGACTAAATATCGTCGGCAGTCCACCGAGGGGTATACCCACGATGGTAGATTGTACGGAGAGGTGCGCATGAACAGGAACTAGATGGCAACAGAGACACAAGATTAGATAGGTTCAGGCTGTTAGCTCGATGTAATATCCTAGTCCTGTGTTCTGTTAGTTTGTATTGACTATCTGATATGATTGAATGTGTTTTGGAGGGGTCCCCTACCCGTCTTATATAACTGGGGTGTAGGGTTACATGTCGGTTAGATCTTAGTCTAATCAAGTAAGAGATAATCTTTACATAGAATCTAATATCCGGCACATCCTAAGAGATCTCGCGACGTCTTCAGGATGTCGCCTAGATTACTTGCGGTGTGCTTGAAGCGATCTTAGTGCTCAAGTCGTCATCTGGTGGGCGGACCGTCCCTGATGGTGCGGCCCATGTACTCACGCAAGTGGTACCGGGGTTGTAACCCCCACAGGGACCATTCTGAAGTCCTTCCAAGCACAAGGTCCCATGTTTGATTAGCAATGAGGGCACCATATTCTTCCTCCATAGCACGCTTCCAACTCGGATTAGAAAGAGCACCACGATATATTTTTGGAAGCGAGCTGATATCTGTGGAAATCGTGGACAAATTGAAGTGTTGTCGCGGTTGACTGATACCTGACTTGCCCCTGGTTTGCATAGCATGCTGGTTGGTGGTGGGAGGTACCGGCACAATAGGCGCTTTGGAGGAGCGTAGAGCAGCCGGGATGACGGTGGAGCCACCGGCGCCGATGGCAAGCGCCGTGTGGCAGTGCCAGCCGACAAGCGCACCGAACGCAATACCACAGAGTCGGTGGAGGCGCGGGAGGTTGCCGCAGCATGCATGTACACTGCGTGATCTGTTGCCGATTGGGGACACCAGATCTGCGACGACCGAAAGCGGGACCTCCAGGTGTCCGTCTGCATCGGCTCTGAGGCGCTTTCGGCCAGTCTTTGGTCCCGCATCGTCCACGAGAATGGGTGCCGCGCTGGCCACCCGCCCTTGACGATTAGGGGCGGGCGTCACGATCGGAGCCGGCGCAGGGAGGGCACCGTTCGGTGCTGAAGAAGAGGCTGATCCAATGCCCCGTCGTGATCGCTGAAGGGCCAGCGGAGCCGGATGTCGTCATCGGAATGACGTCGGGTACAACCGGATCAATATCTGTGTCATCCAAAAAATCATAGGCACTCAAAGGTGCCGGTGAGTTGCAAATAAATGGGAACTGTTGTTCGTCAAAGAGCACATGACGAGAGATGATGATGCGGTTTGTGGAGAGGTCAAGGCAACGATAGCCTTTATGGTTTTCAGGGAAACCAAGGAGGACGCGTTCAGCAGAACGGGGGGCAAGTTTATGAGGCATGGTGGCGGAAAGGTTAGGATAACAACGGCAACCGAAAACTCGGAGATGATCATATGTGGGTGGTGTGCCAAAAAGGGCTTGGTGGGGGGGGGTCGGTTTTGAAGGGTTTTGGTGGGGTGAAGATTAAAAAGATGAGTGGCAGTGCAAAGGGTTCAGCCCAATATGCAGGTGGCATGGATGCTTGGAATAACAGGGTGCGCATGATATTATTGATGGATCGAATGACACGTTCGGCCTTGCCGTTTTGTTGGGATGTATGAGGGCAAGAAAGGCGAAGATGAATACCTTGTTGAAGGAAAAAGGAGTGAGCTGCATTGTTGTTCAATTCATGACCATTGTCACTTCGAATAAACTGTATACAACAATTGAAATGAGTGAGCACATAGCTATGAAAGTTGCGCATAGTGGTGAATGTTTCAGATTTGAGTTTAAGCGGAAAAGTCTACAAATAATGAGTGAAATCATCCAAATACACAAGAATATTTGGAACCGGATATGCTCATAACAGGACATGTCCATAGGTCACAGTGAATTAACTCAAAAGGTTGAGAGGCCCTTGACAAGGACTTAGAAAAAGGCAGTCGACTATGACGACCCAATTGACATACATGGCACAAGGAAGTGTCATGAGCACTAGAAATAACAGAAATAGATTTATTTGAGCGCAAGCGTGAGAGGACTTGGACGCCTGGATGCCCCAACCGTCGGTGCCAAGTAGTCTCGAGGGCAGCCAACATGACACGAGGATATGAAGTGGACGTCGGAAGGAGCAGATAAAGTTCTCCGAAGCTATCACAACGGTGGAGCACCGTCCTGGTTTGGAGATCCTTCACAGAACCAAAGGGGTCAAACTCAAGGACATTGGAAAGGTGGAGAGGACGGTGGGGATTAGGGAGTAAAGCTTGACCGGAACAAGTAATAGGAAGACGGACGCCATTACCAACGAAGATGTTGGAATTTTAAGGAAGAAAGGAGCTAATGGAGGAGAGATTACCAGAAGAGGACGAAAGATGCGAGGACGCACCCGAGTCCATGTACCAATTGGCATTGGGTTGCTGTAGTGTCATCATGTTGAAGACGTTTGCCAGGGCGGCCTGGTTTCAGGACGCCGTGGAGACTGTGGACGCCATGACCGTAGGGGTAGCCGGGATGAGGGGCCACAGCAAGGTGCGCCTGACCAGCGCCTGGAGCAACGCCCAGAAACGGTGGCGGTGGACCAAATTGTTGCTGGAACGGGCCTCCACCCGGGCGAGCGCCCAGAATACCCTAGCTCGGCATAGGCCACATCTGAATTTGGCCGCTCCACGGGTTGGACCACGGACGGGGAGCACGCCAGGCGTTGTTACCCCGTCCCTTGCCCTTGCCGCGCCCCCAAGGACGAGACGGAGGACGAGGGGCCGACGGCATTGGAATTGCAGCGAAAGCCACAGCCGCCGGCGTAGGAGCACGAGGGGGCGCCTCAGTGCGGTGAAGACGGCAGCCGAGGTGGAAGTCGGGAGCTTGGACTCCTCCAGGGCGAGCAGCGACTAGGCCTCGAGGAACGAGGGCAGTGATGTCTTCGTCTTGAAATGGAGGCCATGCCGTGGAGTGGTTCGTTGACACCGCGGAGAAGGGCGAGCAGCAGCGTGGAGTCGTTGACGGGTTGCTCTAGATCGGCGAGCCCATCAGCGAGGTCCTTAAGCCGCTGGGCGAACTTGAGCACCGGTAAGTCGCCCTGGGACAAGGCACGAAACTTGGCCTCAAGAGTCATGGCGTGAGACGCCTTGTTGTCGAGGAAGAGGTTGGCCGCCTTGGTCCAAATGGTGTGAGCAGAGGCGCCGGTCTCCATGATCAAGCGCATCACGCGAGGTGACGATGATGAGTAGATCAAGGAGCGGATGGAGCAGTCGATCACCAACCACGAAGCATCGAGATCTTCAAGCACCGGTGTGCGATGTGAGATAGCGCACTGAACTTGCCAACGAGGGTGAGAAAGAGTTCACGCCAGGTGTAGTTGGATGGATCAAGTTCTAGAGCGAAGGGGATGTGGGTTTTGATGTTGATTGTAGTGAACGCCGAAGCGAGGCTCGGGGCAGGTGGAGGGGGAAGAGCAGCGACGATGGCTACGGCCAGAGCAGCGGTAGCCTGGGCATTGTCGTCCATGGATGGAAGGAGAGGAGGGGGGCGTCGTGATGGATGGGGCGATGGGAGAGGAGGTGGGTAGGAGAGGGGTCACCTAGTTGATACCATGTGAGAGGAATAATCCCTTCTGTTCCATTGACTAATCAAGAGTTTATAAAGGAGTTACATGACTCTTCAACTACTAAGACTCTTCATTCTAGACTATACAAATTCTAGGCTATTCATATTCTAATAGATTGCTCACCTGTGCAGGGGATTTCTGTGCCAACAATCTACAAACTTACATGCTCAAATAGTAGACACTTGTAGAACCTCTGCCCTAAGCTCTGCTGCTTGCTCGATACCCGGCCGACCTGCCTATTGCCACAAAGGTTGCACTGCACTAATGGAAGGTTCCCTTGAGCATCTCTGAATGCCGAAAGAGAGGGCGGGCCTGATGCCGACGCAGATTGAGAACTCGCCGCCATCCTCCACCTCTGCTGGCCCTCAAGTGGCTAGGGTTTCAACAGGGACTGGATGAGAGAGGAAATAGAGAGGGCGAAGAGTGAGTGGTTTTAGGAGGAAGAAGACGGCGAGAGAAAGGGAGAGCGACTGGCTAGGGTTAATGGGTTTGGTCAGACCGCGTTGGCCGAGCTAGGGTCAAAATCGTCCGCTCAAAGAATCTTCTCCCTCCAGAAACAGTGAAAATCATATTCTATTGCATGAGGTGTTACAAAACAAACGCGATCCAATAATGGTACTCGGCGAATTTTGATGTTGGTAGTGTGATGTAGACAAAACCACGTTTTTTCCAATGTCCCAGAGCAAAATTTGCCTTATTTCTAAAACTAGCGAGGGGAACAAGGGGAAAGAAGTTGAGGCCAGCCCCTTCCCACCAACCAGCAAGGTTGCCGGAGATGGGGGAGGGAACGGGCCAGATCTGGGTGGCCCTAGTGAATTGAGGAAGAAGGTTGAGTCTCCCAGTCGACTTGTTGCTTGCCTGATTTGTGTATGCTTGTAACATGGTGTCATCAACAATGAACGAGAATTGAGATCAGCCAGATGTGAATTTAATGGGTCATACAGCTAGTGATGTTAGTGATAGAGTCCCCGTGGCAGGTGTCCTGTCAATCAACAACAACAAAGCCTGTCAGCCCCAAACAAGTTGGGGTAGGCTAGAGTTGAAACCCACCAAGAGCCCGTAGTCACGGTTCAGGCACGTCAATAGCTGAAAATGGCAACTGAAAAACAGAAGTTTGCACTAACGACTTGTGGGTAATGGCAAGAGAAGTTAAAACTTATATTGTATAATTAGAAGGAAGGCTGTGTTTTACTGGCTGAAAAAATGCTTGAACTATAGACGATTTATTGAGATCATTCATTTATATGTCGTTGAATTCAAGGTATTCTTTCACGTTAAATTGACAGGTAAACTTTTTGAGCAAGCTCGTTGCTCTTAAACCTGGGAAGGCTTTGGAAAGGATGATAAAGGATGTTATGAATGGCAGAGGGGAAGGTGCTGATAACATTGAACCAAGTGCTGCTTCGCATTCTGAACAGCAGAGTCTAACTGGAGTATTAGGAAGGGTGAGTTTTGAGTTCAAATTGGTTCATTAGTATGTTCAGAAATTAGCAGATATTTTGCATTAATAAGTATTCGCTGCACATACTTATGTGACCTCTAGGGAAGTGTATCTGGCCACAAGCCACGGCCAGTCCGCCCTGGAATGTTCCTTGAGACTGTTTCCAAGGTATTGATCTCATCTTTCATTTTATACAACACATTCACTTTTTTTTAGCATGACATACGTTTTCCTTTTGTCTGCAATTTCGTCGCATGGCTGTAAGGTCCTGGGTGGCGTATATGCAAGTAACACATCTGGCATTACAGCTCAACATCTGGAATGGGTGAGCACCTTACTGGTCCATTCTTTGACTGATCTTTTGGCTTATAATCTACTGTTGTATGCCAATCATGATGGGCATGGTTTGACCGTATTTTCTCATTTTAGGTACATCAAACAACACTCAAAATTCTTCAGGAAATGGCCTTCTAGCATTGTTATCAGGGTTCACTAATAGTTTGTGAACATAAGGAGTATATAGCTACACATCTGTAGCTATTGAAGGTACATGATATCAGATAAGCCTTGTGTGCACCAAGGTATGGACTGTTTTCTATTTACCGGATTTACTGGTCCTACCGGTCCCGCTGTGGTTGTTATTAGAGACCTTTTTTAAGTGGTCACATATCTTTTTGTTGAGAAGTGGAGTGGAAGAAACGATAATGGGTTATCTGAAGGCCGTAGATCACTCGTGGGAAGAATGTTGCCGCGTTGTGCAGTCTAGAAGTAACTTACAGGCTTGGAAGTGGTAATGTGGTATAACCATGTGGTTGCCCTTGCCAATTGACTAATTTTAAGTACTAGACTCATAACAGATTTGAGGCGTAATACCATTATTGACATTAGTGTTTGTTCCGTGGCAATCTGTAATTTTATCTTTTCACACATTGTTCCGGACTTCTGGTTGTTTATTCGTCATAGGTGATATTCGGTTAGAAGAAGCTACATTAGCCTGTTCGTTTGGCTGTGGTTTGTCGTAAACGATCGTAAATTTCTAGTCGGAACAGTATTTTTCTCTCACACAAATCAGCCAGCAGTATTTCTTCACGAACCAACAACGAACCAGCAACGAAACGAACCAACTAACCGAACAGGCTGAAGAGTGGTATCTTGGAATACAGTAAAATGTGGCTACAGTAGTCTGAATATAACCCCAGGTCTTTTCTCCAGTTGGCAACAGGCAAATATTCACAACTTCCGGCGCTTTCGTTACGGCCACCACCTAGTGATCTTCGACTGGACTCGCAAACGGTTCTAAACGGGACAAGGGTATGTACAACAGTTTAAGAGAGACGAGACCCGCTCGAGGCATTGCGCAGCGGCCTGCGGTGGATGTGTACCCCCCGCACCGCCGAGCAAGCCGGACAGTGCGTGGCCGTGGAACACGGACGCACCCCCTGTTTTTCCATTTCCATATTCCTAGTTTTTCCATTTCCATGTAACTAAACCGATTCAAGTGAAATTTAAATATGATTATTTTTTTAGTAAAATTTAACCGATTCATATGAAATTCTTACATTACAAATAAACTATATTTGGAGGGTTTGATGTAGAGTCTGTCTATTGAACAACCACGTGTTTTATGCAATTTCAACACATGAATTTTTTTGCACCATAAGATTAAGATCCAACAGCCTTCACCCTTTTTCCACCTCTGGCCTTCTTCTACCTTTAGACAATCACAAGATCACAGATCATAGATCACATATCACATAAAACAATTTTTTTTTTCTATGGAAGGACAAATTACAAAATGGTTGTTTCCATTGCCTACCATGTTAATGTGGTCAGCTGTGGTAGCATGGCAGGTGGCTGCCGAGCACGAGCACGGTGGAGGCGTCAAGCGAGATGCACTTCACGATCTCTGTCCTCTCGTCGGTGAGGAGCAGCCGCGGCGGCCCCCGGTCGTCGGTGGTGAAGCAGGTGAGGTTGAATGACGGGTGCTCCAGGTGGCAGCCGGCCCCGATGCCGAATGGGTACGGCACGGTCACGTCGCCGCAGCTGGTCGGGCAGCCCGATGTTGCCGGCGCCGGCCGGCCCTGCCACGACGATCGCCGCCGCCACCACAGCTGCAAGCAGTGGCCGCAGTTGAACTCGCGCGCATGCCTTGAAGCATTGGCAGTGTTTTTTTTTTTTTTGCTAAAAAATTCATGTGTTTCTTTGGTGCTAAAATACATGTGTGATGTATAGCATTTCTGTTGATGTATGGATTTTGATTACCTGAGTGAAATCACTCAGATTTCTAATGCCACAAATTCATGTGATCCATTACATGAATTTTACTCCAAGGCCGTGAATCGGATGGATAGAATGTGTTACTACTATAGTGGATCTATCCAGCGCTGTACTCTGATCGATGCGTCGGAAGGGCTTGGGACTGGCCGGCTGGCCCGGAACCAACTGGGCTGGGCAATGCATCTGTGGCCTGTGAGCGACCCAGAAGCCCAGATGATGACGTCGACGTGGGGGGACGGATTTTTGGACGGTCGATCGAGAAGGCTCCGATCTGCGCAAACGCAATCCAGGATAGCATGGCGGAGGAGGCGAGAAGCGATGAGATCGAGGCGGCGGCGGCGCCGAGAAACCCAGTTACGTATACGAGGAGGAAGAGGAGGAGAACGGGAGGAGCCAGCGGTAGTCCCGCCGCCGCGTCAGGCGGCGCTGGAATGTGCGACGACGTCATCCGCGGCATCTTCGCCCGCGTCCCGGCGAGCACCGCCGTCGCGTCCATGGCGGTCTCCAGGCACTACCAGGCCTTGATCCGCTGCCCGGAGTTCAGGGCCCTCCACTGCCGCCTCGCCCCGCCGCTGCCAGACCCCCACGTCGCGTAGCGCGCCGATGCGCGCGCTCGCGGGGGCGACGTGCCCCAGGATGACGTACGTCAGCACGTGCCACGGCGTCGTGCTGCTCGTTGGTAAGGCCAGGCCTGCCACGTGCGTCCTCTGGAACCCGGCCATCGCCGACGAGGAGAAGGAGAAGGTGAGGGTCCCGGTTTCGGACGACGACGATTGTGCCGTTTTGGGGTTGGGCTACGGCCGGAGGAGCAAAACCTACAAGCTTCTCCTGTCACGCCAACGGAAGGTGACGACGTCCTGGACGAGGAGGGATCCAAAAGAGCTGCTGGTCTATATGCTCTCAGTGGCGTCGGCGGCGGCGGGGAGCAACCACGACTACGGACGCTGTTATCTGAGGGGCTGGACGGAGAAATCAGCGGCGAGTCCCTCTATCTGGACGGCACGATTTACCTCCTCCACGTCGACAAGGCAGTGATCTTGGCTTTCGACGTCGACGACGAGACGGTCACCGCCATCGATTTGACAGGCGAGAGAGACGAACACGGCTGCAAAATAATGTCCACGACGCTCTTGTTGATCTCCGGCCGTCCATGTGTGGACACGCAGGATAGCCAAGGCAGAGCGCTGTGGCTGCTCACGGTGGAGCACCAGTGGGAGCGGAAGTGCGTCATCGGCGACAAGGCGTCTAGTGACAACAACCGCCTTGATCCCTACTCAATCACCGGCGTTTGGAACTGCGGCGGCGTGTTATTCATGTACTTGCGCAACAAAGAATACGGCGACAAAGACGGCAAGCTCTGCATGTACTGTACCACAACCAAGAAGACGATCGAGGTAAACCTGCCGCGCAAACTGACGCCGCCGGAGGAGTGGGAGTACGCGATGTGCTGGGGTTACAAGCCGACGCTCGTGATTCCAGGGAGCATTGTCGTCGGCGACGGCGAGGCCATCATCAGTCAAGATGAAGAGGAGCGCCGAGCCCGGACCGCGGATATAATGGCTGCCCTGTTACCGCTCAATGAGCGAGACAGGAGGAAAGGGCACAAGGCAACGCTCCACACCGTGTTCTTGGTCCGCATCATGCAGAAGCTGCCAGAGAACATGAACGAAGTAGCCGAAATGCCACTGCTGAAACCAAAAGATTCAGGGAAGGAACTTTACTATTCAGATTCAGATCCCGATTTGGATTCAGATTCAGAATTTGAGGCTAGATACATGAGGTACTTCCGTAAAACCAGACGGATGATGATTATGTATTGAAATAAACTGTAAGTCTACGAGCTGACAGCCTGAAACAACTAGGTCCTCTTATTTCACCTACAAGTTACAACCATAAAATCACTTCTCTCAGAGGAGAAAGAGCTCTGTTAGCATGGCCTATTCAGATTCAGGTTCAGGTTCAGATCTCGAACATAGACTCGTAGTTACAACTAGTCTATTTGAGTTTTTTTAGTAACCAACCTTCGCATGTGTAACTCCTAGAAAATTTTATTCATGTTCGCGATTTCACTTTCCAAAATTTGCTACTGCTCAGGATCGAAATTTGATTGGCATCTTCGAGATTTCCCAGTGTCTGAGCTTGATTGAAACTTAGTTTCACATTGTAAACAGTGCCTCATTTTCTAGTGACATCTATCGAAACCATACTAGCAACTTAGCAAGGTTCAGGAGGACATTACAATAGCCGACGGCTACGAAATATAGCCTCTGCTCTTGAGGCTCTCCACGGCATCCCTGATGATCTTCTCCAGGTGCCTGAACTGCAGCCCTAGCGCAACGAGCTTCTTCGACGCTACCTCCGCTTCTGCTCTCACAAGCCCAGGCTGGGTATCCTTGGGGAACCTGCCACAAAGCAACACCACAAGTTTCAATTCCAATAGAGGAGAGGCAAGCATTCCCAGATGTTTTCATGCAGTTTTCATCGCGAAAAAAATAAGGCGTTTTGAAAATGTGGCTTACTTGGGCACTTTGTAGCTGGGGTAGAGCTCGGTGAGTTTGGCCGCGAAGTCGCTCAAGTGATTGATGGACTCAGCGCAGATGTGCCTCCCGGAAGCTGATGGGTTCTCGAACACCAGGAGATGGGCCAAGGCAACGTCTTCCACATGGACTGCCCCCATCCATATGTCCTTGTACTCCTCTGTGCAACCTGCATGGCCAAAATGATGTGCTTCACTGTTTTCTTCATCTCATTGTAATGGCACGGCATAATGAGCAAGCAAGAATAACAATGCTTCTGCATACTGCATGGGGATTGAAGCCAGCAAATCAAGTGGCAAACAAGAGGATTGGTTGGTTTCTGCAAGTGCATGCATCGTTTGGGAACCATATATTGATTCAAATTGAACCGGTAATGTAGACATTATCAAAAACTACAACAGCTCATATTTTGTACTTTTTGGATGTGCTTCTTCATCCAATGAACGGCATAATGAGCAAACAAGAAGAATATTCTCAACACTGCATATAATTTGAAACTTGCATGAAGTTGGCAAAAAAAACAAGAAATAATTGTTTGGTTTTTGCAAGTGCATGAATCATTTGGAGACCATATATATTGATTTAAACTGGAACCACTAAGGTAGCCATGATCGGATACTCCAACTCAAATTTCATATTTGGAACGAAATTTAGAATTCCAAACTATGGCCTGAAGCTTTACCTTGAAGGAGGCGTAGAAGGACGGACATGCTAGAATTGATGGTTGGTGGGATTATCGGGCCCAGGACAGACATTGGATTAATCACAACCACATCCAGCCCGTTTTCCTCTGCAAACTTCCACGCTGCCTTCTCTGCCAGCGTCTTGGAAACAGGGTACCAAACCTATGCACAAACACAAGCAAAGAGAAGCTGAGATCGCAGCGAGCGAAGCTACTGATGAAACCGAAGTTTTGCAGAGGTTGCATCTTGCACGCGTCCTGGAAATCCTGCAAACCTTCTCCAGTTTCTGTGTTCACCGAGTTTCCCAGGCTGATCGTGGCATCATTCATGGCGCCATGGTACCTGGAGACGCTGCAATAGGTAGGCAGTACTGCAGTAGGCTCAGGCTCACCCCGTTTTTCTCGCAGTAGTCGATGTCGGTCCAGCAGCGCTCGTCGCGGACCTCGCCGGCGGGCCACCCGGGGCTGGGCATGATGGCCGAGCTGGACGAGGTGACCACCACCCGCCGCACGCTCCCGGCCTCCTTGGCGGCGCGCAGCACGTTCAGCGTCCCTTCCACCGCCGGCACTATCAGTTGCTTCTGCAACCAGCCATGCATAAACGGAACAGCAGGTCAGCCTGGGGTAGAGCGAGCCGATGGAAGAGGAGAGGACAGCCACGGGGCACACACCTGGGGGTCGCTGACGGCGTCGACGATGCAGGGCGAGGCGAGGTGGAAGACGCCCGAGCAGCCCCGCGCGGCGTCCATCAGCGCGGCGCCGTCGAGGAGGTCGCCACGGAAGATGCGTAGGCGGCCCTCGCCGGCGCCGGCGGCCAGGGCGAGCAGGTGCTCCGTCTCCGCCCTGTCATCTGCGCCGCCCAAATAGTAACTATAAGGAACATAATCAGCGTCTGTGTACGTGTCGCGTGAGCAACTGGTACTGACCGGGGTTGAGGACGCCGGCGTGGACGTTGTAGCCGCGGCCGAGGAGGAGGCGGACGAGGGTGGAGCCGATGAAGCCGCTGGCGCCGGTGACCAGCACTGTCTCCCCCGCCATCTCTCGCGTCCTTTCCCTGAGCTGACTAGCTGGCTGAGCTGGGTCTCGAGCCACTCTTAACAAAACAGCGAGCGCACGATAAGTCGGCTAATGCTGTTTTCGTTACGAGAGAAAAATATTGTATTACGACTGATAAGCAGCTCAAGCCAACAGCACGCTAAGTGACACTGGGATTTTTGTGGATGCGTGTTTCTTCGGACACCTCTTTTGGATTATCCACAACAGTCACAGCGATTGCGTACCGTAGCACGCATTGTGCAACTGCAGACGACGGCATTATACTGAGCTTTCTGCAGACTGCAGGCCAAAGAAAAGGAGCAGCAAATGGAGTGGCCAAGTACAGTTCACGTCGACTATCAGAACATTCAGTGTGTGTGTCTAGGCTTCAACTTCGACAAGGATCCAATCCAATTCGGTACCTGAAACTTCATAATTAAGAACTGAAAAACCGAGTTAGCTCGGTTTTCTTTTTCAGATTGCACAGTTCCAACGCTATCTTGTTATTATCATCATCATCTGGTGACATCATTATTACTACTAGTTACAAGCCACGCTAGCAACTTAAGCAAAGGTCCATGACGGCCTCACATCACAAGCACTGCCCATCCTGCTATCCATCCATCAGGATTCAGGAGATGTGGCCTCGGCTCTTGAGGCTCTCCACGGCGTCCCTGATGATCTTCTCCATGGGGGTGACCTGAAGCCCCAGCGCAATGAGCTTCTTGGAGCCTACCTCCTCTCTCACCAGCCCAGGCTGGGTGTCCTTGGGGAGCCTGCAGGTAAAGCAACACAGCACAAGGCTCACTATATTGGTGCCGTTCGGCTGGTCTCAAAAGACGGCTTGTTCGGCTTCTTTTTTTCCAGCCGGAACAGTATTTTTCTTTCGTAATAATTCAGTCGGAACAGTGTTTTTCAGCTCAAGCACACACCCAGAGCCAGAGACCTAAATTTCAGTCTGATTTTCTTGGTGAAAAAAAATGTGTGGTTTCGCGTACTTGGGCACTTTGTAGTTGGGGTACAGCTCGGCGACTTTGGCCGCGAAGTCGCTCCAGTGACAGATGGACTGGACGCACATGTGCCTCCCCGACGCCGATGGGTTCTCGAACACCAGGATATGCGCCATGGCAACGTCTTCCACGTGCACTGGCCCCATGAAGAAATCGGCATACCCCTCTGTGCAGCCTGCACGGTAAGAAACTTATAATAATGAGCAAGAAATAACAGTATTACTCCGTAATTCTGAACATTGCATACATGTATGCCTTGTATTTGTTACCACATTGCCAAAGCAATGCATGGTCATTAATGAACTGAAACTGCTGATGCGTGAACTGAGTCTGGGAGAGACATTTGGCCATACAGAATATGAAGTAGAAAAATAAAAGGAAAGGTTCAGAGCTGAGGTAACAACAACCCTAGCTAATAGCACTCCTACTTATCTTTTTTTGCGAGTTAAGAGATAGCTTTATTAGCTAGACACCAGAGTTAATACAATCGGCTTTGAGGGAGGCCCGAGCACACGCAGATGCTTGTCCCCACCATGCCGCAGAATGTTTAGTGCGCCTAGCTAAACTAGCTACAGAATTTGCTACCTGATTACAATCTCTCTTTACTTGGGATACTTTGAAGTCCCCTACGAGTCTGGACAGAGCTCTGGCCTCCGTCCAGTGTATTAACTTATAATGATGAAATGTTCAATGTATTAACTTGAAGAGGCTCATCAGAACAAACAAGGCATGATAAGTTAACAGTTACACTAATTTTAAAATGGACGGATAACAAAATTCAAATTCTCCCGCCTTAGCAAGACGAAATAGGTTGCTGAACTGTTCTCTGTATCTTGGGAGACTTATTTTAGGACAGAGGTATAGAGGGAGTATGCAATATGCTCACCTTCAAGGAGGCGACAAAACATGGCCATGCTAGCGTTGATGGCTGGTGGAATCATGGGGCCCAGCACTGTTCCCGGGTTAACCACAACCACATCCAGACCCTTCTCCTCTGCAAACTTCCACGCTGCCTTCTCTGCCAGTGTCTTCGAAGCAGGGTACCAAACCTACACGCAGAAGCAAATGGAGCCTGAGATACTAACAGCCAATAAATTGCTGATGGAACTGAAGCTCTGCAGAGGTTGCATTGCATTGCATCCTGGAATTTCTGCAGAGGTTTCCATGCATGATCTACGCTAGGAATAGGATGCGATTATACTATGTTTTCCAAAGTTCAGAGTTGCCTACAAATGGAACAACGACACGGTGGCCAAGCATCCACCCAGACAACACAGACGAGCATCTAGCAAACAGCAGCAAAGCATCCAACAAATGGAACAACGCCACATTTTCTTTTGTTGCAGGCTCAGTTTGGAAGGTTGTTGGTTGATGGTTGGTGTTGAGAGCGGTCGTTGTTTCTTTCTTTCTCACTCTTTTGCCTTTTTTTTCTTTTTCTCTTTTCTTCATTTAGTGCGGCAATCCGTGGATTGCCTCGTGTTTTCGGTTGCTACCCTCTCAATGAAATACCTGCTAGTTGGCGCGATCGCCAAAAAAAAGTTCAGATTTCGCTGGGAAGCTCGCTCACCCCGTTCTTCTCGCAGTAGTCGATGTCGGTCCAGCAACGCTCGTCGCGGACCTCGCCGGCGGGCCACCTGGGCTGGGCACGATGGCCGAGATGGACGAGGTGATCACTACCCGCCGCACTCCGCCGGCGTCCTTGGCAGCGCGCAGCACGTTCAGCGTCCCTTCTACCGCGGGCACCATCAGCTGGTTCTGCAACGGCGAACGGAGCAGGTCGGCGACGGGGAAACTGGCACTACGGCGCGGCACGCATATACCTGGGGGTCCTTGACGGGGTCGACGGTGCAGGGTGACGCGAGGTGGAAGACGCCCGAGCACCCCCGCGCCGCGTCGAGCAGCGCGGCGCCGTCCAGGAGGTCGCAGCGGAAGAAGCCGAGGCGGCCGTCGCCGGCGCCGGCGGCGAGCGAGAGGAGGTGGTCCGTCTCCGCCCTATCATCTGCATACCACCGCGCACTCGATAAGCTCCGCGTCGCAGGCAAGGGGCCAGCTTTTGTCACGGCATCATGGTGACGCTGTCCGGAGAGGAAAGCCGGAGTGTGCGGTGATAGTGCTACTGACCGGGGTTGAGGACGCCGGCGCGGACGTTGTAGCCACGGCCGAGGAGGCCGCGGACGAGGGTCGAGCCGATGAAGCCGCTGGCGCCGGTGACCAGCACCGTCTCCCCCTTGCCTTCTTCCCCGCTTGCCATCTCGATCTCTAGGGATGCGGTTGGTACTACCCGCCTCTCGAAGTCTCTTTTGGATTTTTCCACTGAAAAATCACTCTCAGCCTCACAGGCTCGCACACTCATCACAGCCTTGCACACTTGTAGCAGAGTAGTAAATGGCACAGTACAGCTGTCATTACAACGGAAGCTATCAAGCTACAGTGACATGACCGCAACGGCAAAAGCCACGCGTTCCTCGACGACATGCATTTCTTTCTGCGCGGATGGGAGTGAAACAGAATTTATGAGGCGTCTGGCCCTGGATAAATTGAACTGGCGCCTCCTGTCCTACACATTCGACTCGCCCGTACAAAAACACCGCAGGTTAGATTAAAAAAAATGTACCCGTCACATCGAATCTTGCGGCACATGCATAGAGTACTAAATATAAACGAAAAAAAAAAACTAATTACACAGTTGGGTAAGAAATCACGAGAAGAAACTTTTGAACCTAATTAGTCCATAATTAGACACTAATTACCAAATACAAACGAAGTGCTACAATGAGCCAAAATCCAAAAAATTTTGGATCTAAACGGGGCCTTAGTGCATCGGTTAGCCTGGTTCCTCGATCGTGCTCGCAGACGGTGAGATGTAGCACCGAGGCAGTTGCTATGATAGTGTGGCCTACAGCTCGGTCTTGACGCCTTCAGCGCCCACGGCGCGGTGCCCTCTCTGCGAGAAGAGTCCTAGGAAGAAACTGGACACTCTGGAGGGGAACGAGGCGGCCTCCTCGCTTGCCGCCGGGGATTTGATCTTGCATATCATGTTGTAGTCGTGCTTCAGGTGCGGTTTCACAATCTTCTCCTGTAGGCACAGACAAGGGTGATAAGAACCCATTTCTTTGAAATGACTGGCTGTGATACTTAAAACAGGAGAGGCGTCTTTCAAAAAGAAATGCAGAGGCCATGCTGTGTTTACCTTGAATTCCTCGAATGGACAGAAATCTTTGTTGCCGCACCCCTGCATACATATGGTCCAACTTAGCAACGATGCATTAGGGTATTTAATGTTTATGTTTACAGAGGACACGACTCTGTATCTTACAATGCACTAAGCTTGATATATGCAAGCAAAAAAGTTTACTTATAAACAACAACAGAGCCTTTTAGTCCCAAGAAAGTTGGGTTAGGCCAAGCCATCTACTTCTACAAATGAAACATAGGAAGCATTTCCAAGAGTTATTTGAGATTGTGTTTGCCCATCCCTCTGTCCAAGTATCTAAAGCCCAAAAATATTTATTTGTCAGCAGCTGTACCTCACACAGACACAAAGTTCAAATTGCATTGACAGAAGGTATAAACAAGAAATATCTGCAGTATATAAATCAATATTCATCGTGTTAACTGTTAACATCTTTTAGGTTGAGATTATTTAATTGTTTGACTTCACAAGATACCTCTCAGTCCCAAAATTTAGGGGAGTAAAAGAGGGGTTAACAAATTTAGTTATCTCCTGGTAGCAAGGTGGAACAAATAGATGAAGAAAACACAAATACTAGAAGGGAAGTTATAAGTCTTACAGGCATTGAGACTGGGGCTTCGTTGTGTAGAACTTGAATGAAGTATGAATTATTTTGGTCTCCAGAGATTGTGCTGCCATCCGAAATTTTACTTGGGCATTGGTATAAAACCAGCATGTTGTTACCAGCAAAAGGCGCAACAACACTGCCTTTCCAGTTTCTTCCCTGCGGCGGCAAAGGGGGTAGGTCCAGCGCTTCCTCCCTCTGTATCTTCTCAAAGTCTAGGCAGTCAAAAGTTCATATATATTAGACGTGTTAAATGAGGCATCAATCATCAATATATAGTTCAGAGGAAGAATTTCATGAACAGGACTAAGAGAAGAGGTGGAAACATACCTGGACCTTCAAGAAAAAGACCGAGAAGGCAGCTAAAAGGAACAACAGTTTCTGCATGTGCAAATCGGAGCCTTGCCTTTTCATACATACCATCAGGGCGGTTCTCTACAATATCAAGGATTATGTAGCTATCTTGCCAAGAAGCACATACTCAAGATCAGAATTAGTTTGCTGAAATCATGGAATACAGCTACCTTCTCTAGCTATGATTGCTTCTTCCATTGACTGGACAACATCCTTGAGCAAAGGCAGTCCCATCCTATAGTTAATTGACTCACCATAGCCTTTTAGAACAAAACCCTCCAAATCATCTGTCCACTCTAGAAAACGAACCTGAACAGAACATTTTTTTACATTAACTTAAAAAAAGAAAAAGAAAAGCCAGGTCAAAAGCATTAAGAAAATGAGTTACTTAAAAGTATGTAAACACGAGTCAGAAAGCACAATAACAGATTGCTTAAGAAAGAACGCTAAACCTAAGGTGCCTGTCAGGAACTTGTCATATGTTCTGTTAAGACACATTTTTTTATGTAGCATTCTCGAATTTTCGATCAGGATTGGATCCAGTAGAGTTTTCTCTCAACCAACCAAACAATTAGTGGAACAACGAATTCCAGTTGGGGAATGACCAAATGAGAATATTTCAGTGTCTACCAAATGGGGAGGTTTAATTGCACGGATAGCTTGAGCAGCATAAACTGCTTGACTAAGTACTTTGAACGAACCAAATAACTCACCAATATACAACTATTAAAAACATGTAAAGATCATCTATACTTTCCAAAGCATAATAACCAACACCACCTCATGAAGATGACACAATATTTGAAAATGCAGTAAACTTTACAAAATTGAAAATTCAAGGCCTAATATCTGTGCAGCATTTCTGTCCACCAAGCACAAAAAGGAAAAAGTTGCCATTACAGATAGATAAACAAGAATTTGAACCATGAAGCATGGTGCAATAGATGTCCAGAGATAACCTACCTCAGCTTCATTGAAAAGCCCACAAGCTTGATTGGTTATATTCAACAAAGATGCTTCCTGCATTTAAAACATTCAAAGGTTATTTACATCTAACTCTAGAGCCTAGCAGGTAGGTATCTTCGAAACATATGGCAGAAATCATCTGTTCCCTTTTCCATGTTCCACTCTTTACCTGCTTACAAAGAAACCAGAGGAAGAAACATCCTGAGTTGTAAATTTTAGGTGATAACGATTGGCAACTGCAGCTGTGACATGGTCTAGAATTGGCGCCTTTTGCTTCTCTACATCAGGCTCCTTCCTTTTCCTGTATGCCTGGAAATGGTCCCAAGTTAATGTTCCTTATCCAACAATATGTAGCTTACTATACCCATAGAATTAACTACCATGTCAAAAAAAAAAGGAGAAACACATGAAGATGAGTGCATAGCCCTTCTAAACAGAAAGGGGGGAAAAAGCTGGTGAGGGCAACCTAATAAGCTGTAAAGGTGAAACAGAAGCATGGATGCATTGTATGAAACAGATAACGTAAGTAGTGCATATAAGGAATGAAATTGCTTAGTAACTACTAAATAGCACAACATCGTAGCACCATTTGGTATTGCTACCATCAATTTATCTTCTGTTACCGATATTCTACAAGGCTTGATCAGAGTAGGATGCTTCAAATATCAAGAAAAATTCAAGTCGCATTAGCACATCTGCCAACGCGTTTTTTTTCTTATTCTTCCTCAAAATGTTACTGCTACCATAAATATTACCTTGTATGTCTCACAGCTGTCAAAGAATCTCAGACAAATATCACTTGCGCGACTCTCACTCAGAACAGAAAAGGCACGGTTCTTCCCTTGTCCAAGCTTTCCTTTCCCAGAAAGTAGTCCCAAACCAAATGCCACTGCACTAGCTGATGCTCGAGGAACCTGTATTTTGAAACACAGTTAATCTGCTGAAAGAGTAGAAATCAGCAACATTTGATGACCATAGTTGTGTGTCTGCATCATTTTGGAACAATTTTGCTGGTTCACCTATTATCCTGAGTAATCAGATTTGACTGTGTAAATTATTAATATTTCCACAATAGGACCCTTCCATAAAAAATAACAGTGGAAAAAATGGCAGTATGACAATCCAAATGTGACATACTAGTAAGTGCCATTTACCTTTCTTGTGAGAATGAAAAGAGGGCTCATGATATATGGTAATATTAGATGCGAGAATATACACAGAAGCAAATTAAAGAAGCTATGTTGAAGCTGACCTGAGTTGCTCTTATTGAATATACATCAGGGTGATATTAGCACGTCAAGTAGATCTTGAAACCTCTCCCTCACTCTGGTAGCTAAATTGTACAGCTCCTCTTCCCCTTCACTAATCAGCTCACCACCTTTAGTCCTACCCTTCCAACGTGATTCCCAGCCTTTAATCCAGGATGGAATTTTCTTCAGAGAATCACTATCAAGGCCCTGATTTGCCTCTTTCATGAGGGCTTCCAGTCGAACTGCCAATCTATCCAGCTCCTTGATTCGCTTTTGTTGGTAGGGCCTTGAGTCCCATGTCTTGCCTAGTAAAAGAGTAACAGATAATATCAGGTTACCACCTAAATATGCAATCCTTTCTGTGAACTATATCATTTATTCGTAATTAACTTAAAATATATGTAGTTTGTCCATTACACATTAGGATTTTTCTAGACTCAAAAAAGAGCTTAGCGCCATATAGCCATACTATCAAAAAAATAGTTACGTTATTTCCCTCAAAACAAACCGAACCAACATGAAGTCATGAACATGTATGAATGCACTAGGAATGGGTGGCCAGAAACAGCATAATTTACAGAAGCAAACTTACCACTAGATTGAGGTGAATGACACGGCACCCATCTGGGACTGACAGCATGGAGATGACACTACTGGACTCTCTGGCCACATCATACCTGGAC